TTTTATTTGCTTATTGTGTCTATTTTTTCTATGAAACCAAATTTGTTTAATATGAGATTCAAATCTGAAACAATGGCTAAAACCGTGAAACTAAATTCTACATCAAAATAAGTCTAGATAGATGTATTTACATTTATACCTCAAGCTTTTAAAATTTTGTAGAAAGTTAAAAAGCTACAAGTAAAAGTAATGAAATACCCAAAAAACTTCACTAAAAACCATGAATACTATATACAAGTAAGTCACAAAGGTACACTAAATTTTGAAAAGAAGCTTTATATTGCCCATGCTACTGAGTCAATCTCATTCCGGGCATTCTTATAAAGCTCTAGACGCTGAGAACAAGCCTTTCTTTGTTCTATCAATGCTGGATCTTCATCCAACATTTGTGCTAGCGGTTTTCTCTTTAAATCAAATGCAAGTCTGTGTGAATCAAATGCTTTGCAGCAAAAAGTTAAAAGATAACGTGACGGAATCATCTGATACCCCTTTATCATGATATTAGAGTGATAGTTTTCTCAAGTTTTGTGGTTAGAGAAGAATCTTAACATTTTAATAACTGAACTGAGTATTACAGGGTTCGTGGAGGGATTTCGTGAGTTGTAGACAGCCTCCATATCCATATACCTCAATTTTGCCAACCCATGCGTAGAACATGTCCAGTACAGATTGCGTTGCCTCTAGGACTTAACAGTGCACTACAGCTTTCGGTATTGTGGTTGTTAGTACTTTGCTGACCATGCCAACATAGGCAGACACATTTGAACCAGCACTACGAGAAACGAATCATGACTGGTTACTTCTTAGATGAGTCTAATCATATCATTCAGCTTTGCGTGATCTGAATAAAAAGTGGTGCCAGAGGCAGCGGTTACCATCATTACAAACACACCACAGCAGAAAAAAGTGAAGCAAAAATCACCTATCCGTCGGTAGTGCACATCGCTATAACGGTCCAAATTAGTAGGAACAGGATTCCTCCTTTCTCTAAATCTTGAGGAAGCTCCCTGAGGAAATCGACCGTCAAATAAACCTGTTCCATTTCGACCAATTTGGCGGCCATCTTTTTGCTGTCATCACGGAACTTCTCCAAAGATGCAGTTGCAGCTGCAGTAAGTTCTCCTTGCAAGGTTGGGAATCGCATCAGCTCCTTTAGGATACAGGATAAACTTCGTAGTTGCGGACTGAGAGAAATGTCCTCAGATGGTCATGCCGAGACCAAAGTTACTTTTTCTACTAATTACGATGTTTCGACCTTTAGGAGCACAAAATTTGTGCGATTCCGCTGCGTCAACACCTAAACCTATCTAAATCTACTTAAGCTTTCCATTACTGCAGAAAACATGCCCAAATCTAGTGTAAATAGTATATATATACACACTCTCTTACTCCCAACCTCTCTCTCTAAACAAAAAATTGTTAAAAAGAAAAACTTTACTTGAGTTTCACTAGCAGATTTGCGAACAAGCTCCCTTAGAATAAAATGTACCTGCACATAAGAACAATATGCACGTTCTCATCTACCTATTTCCGTATCCTAAATGTAACAATAATACACAAGGCTTGGCTCTGAAATTTCGAACTTTATTCCAAAATGCCCCCAGGTTACTCTAAGAGGGTATTGTAAGACTACCACATCAACTGTGGCCTCCGCTGTACCGCGGAAAAGCTCCAAAGTCCCGGCAACAAGTCTCCTGTAACCCTGTTCTGGAGCAATCAAATGTGGCTGATAACCATCTACCTCTGATACCACTTTTCGAATGTTCTGCATTGAGAGTTTTTTAACAAAAGGGGAACCAATAACCTACCCCGCATCAGCTGAAATTGGTCTTCCTAGTTGATTCATATTATTTTCCAACTCGTAAATGCTTTATTTACATTAAACAGAATGTTAGGAATGCGAGCTTTTATTACTGCCTCCAAATGCTGCAATAACAGGAGAGAAGAACTAAAGGTTGCCAAAATAGACTCAAGAAATTGCAATAAATGTAATTAGAAGACAGAGAGAAAGTAAAAGAGGAAGAAAGTGCGAAAATAAGAAGAATCTCAACTCGTTAACTTGTTATTGTTGATAAAAACTAACGTAGAAATTACATGCAAGTATTAGCAGTCAATCGATCATCACTAAGAATACTGAAATTCAAATATTGATGCAGTTCTATCTTTTGGAGTTTCATGCTCTGAACACAGGATAAGCAGTGCCAAAACCGACATATTTGCGATCAGTAGTACCTTGGATAGAAGCTTCGCTAGGTATTCTGAGCCCATCCTCTCAGCCATGTATCGATAATTTTGAAAGTAATCTCTCTCCTTGCGTCTTGCCGCTACAATATCAGTATTTCTATTGATGTCGGTCTGGAATCTCTTGGCCACTCCAACCCATGGATTTGCAAGACGATATGCTCGACCTTCCAAAACCTGCACGTGATGTGCAGAAGCATATCTCATAAATAGAAGATAAGATATCCGAATGGTTAATCATTGACTACTCAGATAATCAGACCATAAAAGGAAACCTCACTAGAGAACGGAAAGGATATTAAGGCACCTCCAGGATCGACGTCACGTGCAAGCTTCATTGCATCTGACGTTGCAATGTCTTGATTCGCAGGTGATATTGCCAAAATGAGGGAGTTTGGCTGCAACAAGGATAAACAGACTACGCCTGGTAAATTGATTAAGAAATCAAGTTGTTGGAGAAGGCAGAAACCGATGTGGTAATTCCACAATATATATACACACACACACACAAACGTATTTATTGCAACAGCAAACATAAGCAATTTTATTTTTATTAAGGAAAGACTACCGTGGGAAAGGGTTACGACCAACCTTTTTAACATACGACCTGACCATGTCGTCAATGTCACTCACAATACTGTCTGGCTGTCCCTCTGAACAATGAAAACCAAAAAAGCGATCACTTCGAGTACATTTCTAATGTTTCTGACTCTGCATTTGCATATAAAATCAGCTTACGAAGAATTCAACACCATCCCCTCCGCAGAAAATAGATTATAGTGAGTCAGATAATACTTACCAACAGCCACCTTTGTGAGACCAGGCAAGTCAATTAAGGTTAATTTCACCACTGAAAAATGCCAGAGTGAGATGTCAATAAATTACACGTGCAGAAATTATTACAATTTTTAACAAAATGAAATCGTATCCAACAGCTAATTACCTCATACTCAGTGCACTCTGATATGGAAGACTGGTTTTAAGTTAGAGTGTTACCATGGGGTGAGTAAATGCTAAGATGTATTGGTACAGGTGATATCTGCTTGCTTTGTCCTACAACTCTATCAGTCTCGTCCTGAATCTCCTTCCGGACTTGTTCTACATCGCAAAATGAATACTTGAACAATCACCTCAACACATGGAGATTAAAGTAACCCCATCTTATTAGGCTTTGCAAAGGAAATTCCTTTCTTCCCAACAGCCACCGCTGTATTAATCATTCGTCAACAATTTCCGAAGGTTGGTGCAATTTCGAAATGTTGGTCTTAGGTTTTGACAACATATAGTTAAGATAAAGAAAAACAATAATCTACTTACCAAAATCATAAAACCTCTTCCAAGGAAGGTGTAGAAACTCGCCATACTCGGGTACTACTTCGATCTTGTGCAATTGAAGTACAAGAGGTCGTCTGGTAACAATTCCAGACTCCACAAAAACAACAGTTAAAATTCAATGTCCACGGCATTGCTTGCGAATCACATCTTTGCTTATAGCTCTGAAGGTGGAAGTCTCTTTTGCATGAGAATCAGCAATAAGAAGGATCATCGATCATGCCTGAACCACGAGGTAAAAATATCACGTCCTACGATGCTCTCCAAGACGGATGACTTGCCAGAGCTCTGATTCCGCATCCATTAAATCACGAGTATTTCAAGACGAGGTTACTTTCTAAACGTCGAAAGTTTATAAATCTTACATTTTCTACTGTGGCGGGCACAATGATTCAGCATCTGCTGGTTGAATCAAGGCGCTCCTAAGACAAGATTGTAGTTTGGGAACATGTCTCTGTTCTGGATTCAGATCAATGTAAATTATAAAAGAGCCTACCAATTGTTAAAAATTTGGCACGCAACATGAAGAACTTATGAATTCATTGTTATACCTGACCTCCAACCACAATCGTGGGCAAAGACTCCCACAGACTGGGTAGATAGGAATCTCTTCCATTGTATTCAAGTGCTGTACTCGCCCTTTGAATTCGATTCACCAGTTCTATCAAGTTCTCCATATCAAGAAATTCGCACCAAGAGATTACAAGCCTCTCGGCTTTCTCTACAATGGGAAGCAATTGGCCAATAACTAGATTGAAAATCTGCTCAAAAAACTAGCCACAGATTAAAAACAACTTCGTAGTCCAATAAATTCAAGCGCGGTGACGAAGCACGAGAAATAGCGAAGAAGTAGTTCGTGGCCATGAATCCTCACATCAATCACCGCAGCTGCTGCAGCGACACAACATATTGCGAAGAACCGACTGAATTCACGAGATCTCGTGCATCGAAGCGCACTCGCTGGCCAGAAAAAGGCTCTGCTCCGTTTGTTTGTGTCTGTCTTCTCCCATTGTTCCTATTCCCGCCATTTCCACGTCACAGTGCAGTAGTCGGCCACCTCAGCTCAGAACGAGAGAATTTTGATGTGTCACGGTTACTCAAGGGTCGGTTTTAAGGTAGGTGTCTATGGTTGCTGGGGATGTTGGATTAGTTCTTCGAAGGGTCTAGGATTAGGTTCAGCCTTGGAGAGTGGTTCAGCTTCAAGTTTCTAAGAATATGTCTCCTGAAAATCGCACGTTATATTTGTAGAGATGTTGTGCTGTTCGTACGTGGGCTCGTGAGACTTCTGCATGGGTGACGCGATTTTGATTCAAATGTAATATGTGAATGATACAGAGGGTCGTGTACACTGAGTTTGCAGCATTTCAATTCACCTAGCACAGTTCTGGATTTGGGGACTGAAACTGGAATGATGGAAACTTTGTAGGTTATTTGAATACCATCTGAATGCATTCCGAATGCTAGTATGGATTGAGTACATCCAGCATGAACATTCAAAATACAAGAACAAGCTGCTTGGGCAGATACCTCCTGACCAGGTTAAATGTGGCGATAACTACGTCGGAATTTGCCTGGCTTATTGGTCCAGATTACTATTTCACGGTTTGAATGAAAGTTGATCAGCTCAAATATCATTTGAAATGCAGGCAAGCAAGATTAGAGCGAGATTCTCAGTGTGTTCAACAAACAAGCTCATTCCACATGATTGTGAAGTTCACCAATGCCCTCAATCTTAATGCAAATTTTGTCCCCGGGCTTCAGATGTCGTGGTGGGTTGAATCCTGATCCAACTCCTGCTCACAGCAAAACAGACGGTCATATTTGACGATGTGATTGTGTAATTGCAAACCTAAAGACAATGCGAGTGTTCATGAAACATCAAATCCTCTAACAGCATACTCGCCATTACTCACAGCCAGTATTCCATACCCATTATTCCTCGTCACCCGTCTCCTCATCAAGGTCATGAAATAGAGTACGATTGGAGGGCACACTATTCCCAGCTTATGGAATCACTGCAATCATGGATACTCACCAGATGGTGTGCCTGTAGCTAGTATGTCTCCAGGTTGAAGTGTAATTCCGACAGATATAGTTTCAATCAGCTCCGCAATCGAAAAAATCATCTGAGATGTCCTCCCGTTCTGCAGATCGAACAGTGACAAAGTGCTCAACTAAAGTGTTACTTTTGCCAAATGAGAACCATAGATCAGAAATAACAGAAATGTAGGATAGTAATAGTAGAGAATAACAAAGCTTTCAACGTGAGTATACCTGCCGAAGCTCATCATTGATCCAGCACTGTAAGGCAAGATTCTGACCGTCTAGTTGAGATGCTGGTACAATCCACGGTCCCATGGGGCAAAAGGTATCACAACTCTTGCCGAGGAACCACTGTTACAAAAACCAATAGTAATTTCACGAGCATTCAGCTAGTGTTACCTTGTATGTTAAAGTGTAGCTCATTAAGTTGGTAGTTACAAAGTTCACAATTGTACAATTTCATTCTCTGACCACGGAAGTGTAATATGCACGACCTCGTAAAAACTGATGAGTAGGAACCTTGCACACGACCATCTGTTAGTCACAAGAAGGACTTACCTGTTGGTGCCGCTTTTGAACTTCTCTCGCAGTTACATCGTTGATTATGGTGTAGCTGATCCAAACACGCGCGCGTGCGGGCACACACAAACATCAAATATATTATGCCGTGTAGAATCACATTGATTGTGTGCCAGACACGTCAGAGGAGCAATAAAAATTGAGTAAAAAATTCCGAATAGACCAGATAAGCTACAAGAAGAATAAATTAGTAAATGACACTAACATGTTCCCTTGAAATGACTCTCACCCAAAAACATGTTTTAAAGCGTCCTCTTTGGAAATCCCCCGCCCAGCCTTGCCAATAATCACCGCTAGCTCTGTCGAAACCACATATACTAGTCATCGTAATGAGCAACAAAAAATAAAAATAGATAAAAATTAAAAGCAAGAAACAATAACTCAATGTAGCATGACCAAAACATAACTCGTGCACGCACTTACCTGCTTCATAATCAACACGATCAGACCACCCATGAGGATAAACAATAGCAGCTCCAGGTCCAACAACAGACTGTGGTGCCTTTGTAAAGACTATGGGATGCTGTCAGGGCCAAAAACGAACTATTTAATCAGATGCGCATACAGTACATACATTGTATTCATAACACAGAATGCTTGGAAACTAGGGTAATGTAAAGGTAAACAGAGACACTAAAACTTGGCAGAGCGATTCTCGAGGTGGTTCCTATCCAGGGTGAAAGTCAGTTCATTTCCTAAGTCTGAAACTTCAAACTACAAGAATTAACAGAAAGCACCTGCAACTTAAGACATGAGAGAGGGGCAAGGTTAGAGCCCCTATATAGACATGAATGACCTTAGGAGCTTCTGGTTGTGTAATGCCAGGATCAGTCTTCCACGTGTCCACTTCCTTCACGTGATCCAAATAGTTTTTCCCAATGCACATGATAGTGCCCGTCGGTCTGGGTATAGGAGCTTGTAACTTGACATCGCTCAAGTCAATTCCCTCTCCCTCCGCATGTATGCTGTCATCACAGTGTGTCACTTCATGTGACAACTCTAGATAAACCTATTTGTTTCATATTAGAAGAAAACAAAATTGTGTTCAGGAACTGAAGCTACCAGAAATATCAAGGATGAGTAGTTTAATGGACAAGCACATTACTGCTTTTAACTAAGTACTGTTAGAACATGGGTATTGGGAGGAAGACGTAAGAATACAAACAAACGGATTGTACAATGTAAGTACCTATCCTTGATAAGATCCCAATTCCGGATAACAGAAACCATGTCATTCACTTGTAATGGAGTGCTGCCAGATTGGAATTTCAAAACCTCCTGCAAAGGCCTATACAAAGCCTATTTAGTTTGGAGCATTCTGCTGTTCACGAAATAAAGTGACTTGTTTCAAAAAAATTAAAAAATAACTAATCTAAAGTACTGATGAGAAGAGTATGCTAAACTGGTAACAAGAGTTCCAAATTGTTTTGGAAGCAAAAACTATGTGTATTTGATAAAAGTTCTACAATGGTCTTGATCACTAAAACTCACCATATAGAGTTTTCACGAACTATTCCTACCCGATCTTCATCTGTGTTTGTTTTGAATGTGGCCAGCTTGAAGCCATGGTCTGCATCGAACATGTCAAACGGTTTCTCTAGTTCTCTAGATCACAAAAACAAGCCAGAAAAGAATGTAACAGTCGAACTCTCACATAAACCAAAGGAAGAAGTTCGAAATAAGAAGACGACCGCAGCAAAAGTTAAACGAAATTGAGCCAAGATTGGACTGGAATATTTTGAAGAATATCTACCAGAACTTTCATTCAAAGATGCCCTGAGTGCAGTTGACTGCATTCTCCTCTGAGACATGTTTGGTAGCAATCGTTGAGTGGGTAAGCATCTATGACCAATGCTAGAACGAAAGGAACGGTTCACTTTCACCGCATAACCCAGGCACGGACGAGCAGCAGCCATAATGCTGCTCATAGCTCCTATTTATCTTTCCAAGGGAAAATGCCTCACATAAACGCAAGAAGTAACAAGGCCTACAAAGGAACACAGATAGAGAAGATATGTGCAGTAAGTACGCGTACCCCTGTTGCAATGAAATAGGAGAACGAACAACTATGCAATAATATAGGTTTAGAAGTACCTAGAAGAAGTAACCTGATTGCATTATGACGTACCAAATGACAGCAGAGTAGGAAACTCAACTCTACAACTTCCCCCCTACATAGTAACCATATTGCGAATTTGGTCATGTAACTTGTATCATGTCGAACCGTGTATAAAGAAAATGCTAGCAAGATATAATCAATGTGGCCCCACCGGTCTCACATTGACATTGAACATGAGAATGATTTCGTCTAATATGGTAGTGTCCATGTAATCAGTAGATAGTAGTAAACTAAGCTTCAAGTTGCAAACATGGGAGGAAGTCAAAGTCAAGGAAATTTATAACAAAACAGCATCTCAAAATGAAGGAGATGAAGACTCAAAGCGAGCTTTGAAATCAACATTTCTTAGCAAGCGTTACTAAAACGTACTTTGCCGCCCCTCACAAACTCAGCACAACAATTTACAACCTCTTTCAGCTACTTGAAGATATCTCCGTCGACGAAACACATGCCGCGACTAAAATAGGTTAGAACATGCTACATTAAACTTCTTCTCAGCTTAATTCTTCCACTATTTTCCACCACTGCATTTCCGAAAATCTCTAAAAAGAAACTAAAAAAGACACAAAGGTGATACCTTCAAACGACACAACAATCATTATATGAACATTGAAATTGAAATTGAGTACACAACCTTCTGAGAGGAATTGCGATCAAGAATAGTAACCACATCCAAACTAGTAGTGCAGGACACAAAACACACAAAATACCTTCACAACTTCAATCTGAAAGAGCGAAGGCGATCAAGTAGAATCATTAGTAAAACCGCATTTCACGGTACAAAACATTGTTCTTAGACACTGCACTACAACAGCATTCCGCAAAGTAAAGAAGAATATGCTGAATGACATGACAAGCATCCAAACGAAACTAGGGCATTCGAACCCCGACTCAGCCTGAGGGATCCTCCCCGAAGATTAACCTCACAGACGAACCTCAAAAGCTGCGATTACTGAAGCCGCAAGGGCTGTCAGTCACAAGTCAAGCGCTCCGTCGCCAATTCGAATCCGCGAAAATCGTAAATGCATTAAAATACGCGCTACAAGATATGGATGAGGAGTAAGCGAGCGGACGAGCACCTGATGGATCGGGGTGGAGACGCTCCTCCGTGCCTGCCATTGTCAGGATCCGACGTCGTGTTGCGATGCTTGTCGCGTGTGTTTGTGTGTATGTCCGCTCCCTGGAGCCCAGCGAGATGTTTTCCGTCGACGCCGCAATTGCACACTTTTCCATCGATGCAGAGCTCCCTTCGCATCGGCAGGGTGTGCAAAAGGGCGGGCAGATCTGGGGTCCAAGGCATTAGGATGCAATTCATCCACAAGAAGCCTGGTCCAGGTTCTGTTTCTGCGTGGCCCAGTGACGTCCCCACTGAAATGCTCACTCGACTGGTAGGATAATACACATTCTTTTGCTGACCATTGGTCTGAGATTAGCATATCAACTCTAAAGGACTTATTCTGCAGCAATCATGCCGCACGCTTGGGTGAATGTGTGGTGGATCTCTTGATTCTGCTGGATCTAGGGTTCAGTCTACCAAGAACCCCGTTTGCTCGACGGAGGCTCTCTAGCCTCTCTTGCTCAGCCTCTCTCTCTCGCTCTCTCTGTTTTTATCTATCTCTCTTCCTCTAGTTTTCCTCTCACTCGTGCTCTGGTCTTCTCTCGTTTTCTGTTTCTTCCGCTTCTTCTCTCATTTGTCTATCACTTGCAATTGGTCGCCCAAGCCAGGCGAATCCTTCGTTGTTTTTATTCTAGGTCTGATGCCAAATGTTGACTGGGTGTTGCTAGTCAGTTGTGTGTGTAGTGTATTCAGTTGTTTGTGCAGTGCTCAATACAGTTGGACATACCGAAGTCATGTCTCATGCACAACGGTCAGAAATTGAATTGAACCAAAGGCAAGAGGCTGTGAGTATACCAAGGGAAGCTTGGAAAGCGCAGTTTCACATTGGGAGGCGGTAAATCCTTCAGCAACAAGGTGATCGTATATATTTTCAGACGCTTCGCAGCCTGCCTTCTCTGCCCTTCAGTAAGAGATTCCTCGGCTTGAGACGTGGATTGATTACTGCCCCTGGTATTTAGAAGCAATCTACGCAACCGAACCACATTCTCCGTCAACAAATTCACTCGGGCAATTCCACGGCTCGCTCCTTGATTCCCAGCAGCGGCAGCTTTCGCTTCCTTGCTGGATTCACCAGCCTTGCCAGAGCTTTACGCCTTGGTCTTCTTGGGAGGCATCTTGTCTGATTTCGATTACGAGCTTCTTACATCGCGTACATTCTGCCACTGCAAAACCGAAACCCTAACTATCAAAGATTTGACATTGCTACAAATATTAATATTATTGTTAGTTTTTACATCAAGTAGAATATATATTGATGAGTTTTGACTAATTTCAAGTGAAATTAATGTTTTTATTTGAATATGTGAATGTGTGATTTAGAATCAAGTTGAAATACTTGAATGTTAGTATTTCATCATGACTTATCTTCTAGAATCATTTACAAATCATTTACAAGGTTTTTATTAATGGCTTGGCGGGTGGTAGTGGATTTTTGGATTTAAAGATTTATAAACAATGTTGAAAATATTGGTACTACATTAAGTAAGATACTAATGAAGATATTTGGAAAGAATGGAAGAATGCAGGTTTTATTGGAGAAGGAAGATCATTTGAAGAAAAAACAATATACAAGTCTATGCAAGAAAATCGATTGTGTTATGAAGATCTTTTAGTAGCTAATGACTTGCAACAATGATAGAATACAATATAGACTTTATTACATGAATTATTTGTTATAGTGAGTAAAGTTGAATCATTGATAAAGAATTGTAGAGATCAAAATTGGTATCAAGGGTGATATTCCAATTAAAGAACATAGAGACTTTTAGAGAACTTCTTTGGGATTTAAAGTATTGTTATGATGTGGCAAGTATTGCACTTAGAGAGTACAATGGGAAGACATTTGAAGATACTACACTTACTACTTTTATTGGTTCAACCTTTAATGAAGTAGAAGCTAATAATAAAGATCTATATATGAGGGTGATTTACAAGTAGAGATGAAAATTTTGAATATTGTAAATTAGCAATGCATCTATTACAAAGGTTAAGGACATGCATTGCATAGAAGGTGGAGAATTAGATGTATTGAAGTTGTCATTAAATATGACAAATATTAAAACTATGGAATTTATAAGCAAAGTATCTTTTGGAGAAGTTTACAAAGTAAAGTGAGGGAGCTTTTGTATACAATAAAAAATATTCATGTTGGATTTCATAAGTTTTTTATTAGGAAAGTGAGCAATATGGATTGAAGCCATCCCAACTTCATTAAGTATTATTTTGCAATGATAAATGATGATAATGTGATCATCAATATTATGCTATAAAAAACACAAATGGAAGTTTATATTTGGAAATAGAGTTGATGCAAACAAGCTTCAATAATATGTTGAAAAAAAAGAAGAAAGACCATATGTTTTTCTTGTTAATAATGTTTATCAAATTGCAAGGGGAATGTGCTATTTGTATGACATGTATATTGCACATTTAGATTGAAGTTGAAAATATCTTATATAATATTGTAGAAAAAGAAATATGAAATAAGACTACTAAATGTGTTGATATAAAATTAATTGATTTTAGAATGTCTAAAGTTGATGTTGGAAGGAATCCGAAAACTACAAACAATAATAATTTCTATAATAGTGTAAAGTACATGGCTCTTGAAGTATTAAGAAACAAATTGGAATCAATAAAGTTGTAGCCATATAAAGTGGATGTACATTCATTTGCAATGGTATGTTTCAAGATTCTTCCAAATGAAGATCCATTCTACAATGCTAATATACCAAGTGAGATATTAAAAAGAATAAAGAAAAGTGAAAGGCCAAAGTTGCCTTCAAATTGTGATGAACTAACAAAGCTTGTTGAAGAATGTTGGAGGTGGAATCCTTAGCAATAACCAAAATTTGCTAGTATTTGCAAAAGATTGATGAAGTTGAAAAAAAAATTGGTAGAAAATAGTGTTGTTAAAATACCTTATTTTGGTTTATGGAGAGAGAAGATTCATCAATTCATACAACTATGAGGAACTCACAATAGGATGCCATTAGTAAGACTCATACAAACAAATATGGTGAATATACACAAAGTTATTTGGATTGATTTTAATGTTATATAATTACTTATCTTTATGATGTGATAATGATTAGATGCCTTTAAATAAATATGAGTTTATAAAATTAATATAATAGAAAACTTGATTGATTTATGGTTGTATTTGTAAATGTAAGTTGAATCATTGGAAGATGAGTTATTGGGCAGAACACAATATCTATTGCATATCAAATAACTATGTGCAAAAAATATAAAGGCAATATGTCTTAGTGGAATGGATGGAATAGATAACACCATAATGACAAAGATTGCATTTAATAATGTAAAACATATGTATGATAAATCATGCTTTGTTAAATATAATAAAAGTGGTGGAAATTACTTTATAATATGTTGCAAAATTTTAGAAAAATCTTAAGAGAAATCAAAACCAAAAGATATAAAAGAAGCTTAAGAAATATGAAAATCTTTCTCTATAAAGAATAAAATCATTCTAGTACTTAATGATGTAAAGAAAAAAAGCCAAATTGAAGACATTGTGGCTATGGATGTATTGTTTGTAAGCAATAATAATACATTAATTGTGACAACTCAAAATTAAAAATCAACAAAATATTTTGATGTAAAATTTTATAAGATAAATATTGAACAACTTGATGAAAAAACAAGTATGAGGTTGTTTATTACTCATTCTTCTGGATATGAAGAAACATTACCTAATGAATTTATTGAAGTCGGCAACAAAATTTTAAAAGCTTGCAATGGCCTAACTTTGAGTCGTAAAGTCATGAGTGTATTATTAAGAAGCCAAAAGAGGTTGAGATGTTGGAAGAGAGTTTTACAAAGATTGAAGAAGAAATGAGATTTGGATGGAGATAAAAAGAAAAATAATCACAAGATATAAAATATATTAAGAATAAGCTTTGACAACTTGAAAGATGAAGAAAAGAATATGTTTTTAGATATATGTTGTTTATTTGATAATAATGTCTATCTCTAAGGCATGTTGAAAGAAAGAGCCTTGCAAATATGAATTAACAATGAAGATAATATTTTAGAAGAAGTTGTAGAAATTGCATTGGATACATTGATCTATCAATCATTGGTAAGAATAGATAAAGGTTGAAATATAACAATGCATGATCAATTATGAGACATGAATCAAAATATTGTTGAAAGTGAGTTGAAATATAAAGGCACAAGAATCTAAAACATAAATATAGAGCTATTAGAAGGATTTGAAAATAAGGTATGTTCTTAACTTTTATCAAAATAAAATATATAAAAGTAATGATGAAAAACACAAATTAGTATGTGGATATTGGAAATATGATGTTTTTATATTACAGTAAAACTTTTGTATATTTTAAAGTAGGTTTAATAAAAAATATATATATTTTGATTTTAGGTTATTATAATATTTGCATATACAATAAGTAAACTAAAAGTGTCACAATTTTAAAGTGGTTATGTTTGGATTGTATTGTATAATTGAAAGGATTATCTTACAATAATAAAAATAATAACATGATTATTGAAATTAGATGATATATTTTTCAAGAATTCAAATATTAAGCTCTAATATTAGTCGAATTAAATCAAAGGATGTTCTAAATAATTTGAATAGATTTCTTATGTTGGTAGAATATTCTATTAATTTAAAATATCTATCATTACAATTTTAAAAACCATCATAACTATTAAATAAAAAAAGCTTGACATCATTGCGACAAGAATTATGTGCCTTCATATCTTTGACTACATTGAATATAACAGAGCATTAAAGCTTTATATTATTACCAAATAAAATATATAACTTTACATCTTTAATTATTTTCAATATAAGTTGGTGTTCAAAGCTTGAAATCATTGCCAAAAGAATTGAGAAACTTCAGATCTTTGATAATATTAAATATATCAATGTGTTCAAGTTTAACATCATTGCCAAAAGTATTAAGCAACTTCACATCTTTGACTATATTAAATATAAAAAAAATTTAAGCTTGATATTATTGTATTATAGCATGTCTATTGGTTGAAAGAAAGAAAGAAAGAAAAAATTATATTATAAAAGAGCTTAATTGAAGATATTGTAGTAATTTACTTTATAAATATAGATAATAATCAAGGATGTAAAAAACTAATAAATTTTAATATTAATTTTTTGTAAAATAAGATTCTACTTATATTATATGGCCATAAATAAGGTAAAAAAATTAAATAAGAAAATAATTAATGTAAGCATCTTTAAAAAGAATTAAGAATAGTTTTAGCAAAAATTACCTATAGAAATTAAGAATTGATATTTAAAAAGATAAATTATGAACTAAGATCTAAATCGAACCTTGAGGCATAAAATTGCACATCCATAGCAGTTCTAAGGTCCTTATTTTAATTGGAGAAAAAAAAAATTGAGAGCAAACTATAACAAAGTTTTTTGAATCATAATTTTTAATATTTTTGGATTGTAATGACTTTATAAAGGCTTTACAAAGTTAGAGTTTTTTTGAGGTGGTGTTGGATTTTTGAAAAATATAAAGGATTTATACTTCAATTTTTTTTGTAAAATTGGTAGTTGATCTATAGAATAATTTTTTGTATCTGTAGGATTAAAGTTGTATTAAATGTGTGTTATGAGTTTGGACTTGATCAAAAAATTAATTTAAAGGTTATTGGAATTCAAATCTATTAAGATCTTAGAAATTGGAGTTTAAAGGATCAATGAAGGTTTTTAAG